GTGCATATCTCTCCATTCATAATTCAATGGTTTGCATATCTCCCCATTCGCCTCCTCAACAATTGATGTGGTCCCCATTCAAAATGAGTGGCAGGGGATTAGTGCACCTCACCACAAACCAAAATTTGTGCTTGGTACCAAGCATGACCCTTATTTTATGAAAATTTGTTGCCACCAAACTTTCTTAGCCTTATTTTTAGTATAAAAAAAACCTTTTTCTATCTGCAAGCGGATCTAATGCAATATGAGTGGCCAACTTTGGTGATCTACTTTTGCTATCACTAAGTTGACACAAGTTTTGCTCTTCCAGCTCTCTCTCTCTCTCTTCTATATATATAATATTTAGTATACTATACTCTAATATATAGGATGATGCCCTTCTTTATATATCATATAGACGTACTATATTGTAGTATTATATATTATATATTTATACCCTACTATCACAGCTATAATACTGATATATCTACTAGACCTTACCTACCCTAGTACACCAAGAAGAGAGAAAGAGCAGGAGAGACTCTTTGCGTATGCCATGGGTAACAAGCACAAAAGTTATGCTTGGTAGTGATGTGTTCAAATCCCCTCCATCATTTCAATTGGCACAAATTTCACATGGGTATTGAGTGAGATGGGATATGACCATCCAAAGGGCAGCAAATTTGTGGCTTGGTTACCAAGCATACCCATATTCTCATATATATTTATATCTAGGGTAATAGTAGTAATAATTCTCTAGGATATATATACTATATATATATATATATATAAAATAATTAAAGTATATATAATTAAGGAGAACACTCAAAAAGCTAAAATGAACAGTAAATCTGATTTGGACCAATCATATTATTCATTAAAAAAAATTTACAAACAGTAACATATTGACAACATATATAACCCACGTTTCAATCCCAGACCAATCAGATTATTCATAAAAAAAATTACAAACAGTAACATATTGTCAACATATAACCCACGTTTCAATCCCAGTCTTTCTCCAAAAATTGATAACTAACATCTAACCCATGTTTTACATAAATAACTAACATCTATCCCAGTCTTCCTCCCCACGTTTCAATCCCAGTCCTTCTCCAAAAATTGGTAACTAAAATCTAACACATGTTTTACATAAATAACTAACATTTATCCCAGTCTTCCTCCAAAATTGGTTAACAAACTAGCTTTGCACGTCTCTTTTCTCAAGTCTCTTTTCTCAAGCAGTCTTCCTCCAAAATTGGTTAACAAACTAGCTTTGCACGTCTCTTTTCTCAAGTCTCTTTTCTCAAGATGCTTCTATTTCCTGCCTCCCATCTCCTGTCTCCTGTCTCCTGTCTACAGCAAATTGTTTACAAGAAAGAGAACAATGTGAAGGTAAGATTTCTAATCTCTTTAATCTCTTTAGTTTCATTGATAGGTGTTAGCTTATGAACTTTATTTGAGTTTCTTTTGTTTCAGGCAACTTAAATGATCATGGTGTGTAATTTGGTTTTCAAAATTTAGTTTTGAATAAAAATTTGGAATAATAAAAATTTGTGCGTTCAAAATTTTGTTTTCAGGCAAACTTAAATTGTTCACATTGGTTTTGAATAAAAATTTAGTTTTCATTGGTTTGAGCAACTGGTCCTAATTCAATGTGAAATAAAAATATAAGAGAAAGGAGAGGAGAAAAAGCACAAATTAAATCACATATTTGGAAAATGGAATAGAACTTACCTCTGGAGTTGATTCGATTCACTATATTGAAGGGGTGACTGGCCGAATAAACAGTTGGAAGAGAAGATGAATTGCAGATGTAAACTGATTCTTTCATATGACCTAGATATTATGTCATTAATAAAGTCTAAACAAATTGTTCCAGATGACGAAAAGAATGCTCATTTGAGGAATTTAGACAGGGAATTAGGCAACCTACAGCTTTTTAAGGTAGACTTGCTTGACTACGATGCGATTGCTGCTGCTATTGCAGGCTGAGAAGGAGTTTTCAGGCAACTTAAATTGTTCACATTGGTTTTGAATAAAAATTTAGTTTTCATTGGTTTTGAGCAACTGCTCCTAATCCAATGTGAAAAAAAATATAAGAGAAAAGAGAGGAGAAAAAGCACAAATTAAATCACATATTTGGAACATGGAATAGAACTTACCTCTGGAGTTGATTTGATGCACTATATTGAAGGGGTGACTGGCCGAATAAACAGTTGGAAGAGAAGATGGATTGCAGATGTAAACTGATTCTTTCATATGACCTAGATATTATGTCATTAATAAAGTCTAAACAAATTGTTCCAGATGACGAAAAGAATGCTCATTTGAGGAATTTAGACGGGGAATTAGGCAACCTACAGCTTTTTAAGGTAGACTTGCTTGACTACGATGCGATTGCTGCTGCTATTGCAGGCTGAGAAGGAGTTTTCAGGCAACTTAAATTGTTCACATTGGTTTTGAATAAAAATTTAGTTTTCATTGGTTTTGAGCAACTGCTCCTAATCCAATGTGAAAAAAAAATATAAGAGAAAAGAGAGGAGAAAAAGCACAAATTAAATCACATATTTGGAACATGGAATAGAACTTACCTCTGGAGTTGATTTGATGCACTATATTGAAGGGGTGACTGGCCGAATAAACAGTTGGAAGAGAAGATGGATTGCAGATGTAAACTAATTCTTTCATATATCTTCAGTCAACTGATTCTTTCATCAGACATTAGCACTAACAACAATTAACAACAATAGGTGAAAAAAAGCTACAGTCATGTCGCCTTAGTACCCATTTCAAATTTGGTATCCCAGCTAGCAATTTGATTATTATGCTTGCTTACATCTGCAATTCATAGAGATAAAATAATCATACATATTAGTTAACAGTATGATCAGAGAAAAATACTTTAAAAATAGAGCACGTAGTGTGATTATGATCAGAGAAAAATACTTTATAAACAGAGCAAGTAGTGTGATTATGATCAGAGAAAAATACTTTACAAACACGTTGTAACCCTGTTAGGTAATTCTGTCTTGGGGGGCTAACAGGAGGTGTTGTAAATGTCAATGGTAGATGACCTGCATAATAATAATAATAATAATAATAAAGTAACACAATAAGAACATGAATTAAAGAACCAAATTTCTACAGTATTGTTAGAAGGACAGATTCGTCATGACTTAGAATGTACATAACAAAGGACATGCATTAAGGAACACTAGCTAATCATCATTAGAAATTTGGAAAAAATCTGACCACAAAGACAAAGCAATTACAAGCATTCATATCAAACCATGACGACGAGAGTGCCAAACCAGCAAGGCTAGAGGATACAAATGGAACTAAATGTTCTCCTTGGTAAGTATTTCCTGTAGACTTCGCATACAAGAATACAGATTATCAGCATTTGCATAAATATGCCACAATGTTAGTAATTTGAACCCTGAATAATTATAGTTGCATTAAGATAGGAACCTCTCTCCTCAATCTTCCCTCTTCCATTTCATTTTCATTTACATAAACGAAATACTTAGTGTTGCATAAATATTCTTTGTTATATTTGCAGAAAATAATTATTCATAAATCCAACAGATTCAACCATTTGTCAAATA